CCCCTCATTGATATCTTATTAAGAACCTTGTCTGGACTTCCCAGAACCAGAAGGCCCCAGGCTCCAGGACATTGGAACCCTAGACATGACTCCCACACCACCCTCGTGGGCTCTGTTTGGCAGTGTACAGCCCTGCCCCCTGCAGAGAGCTCATGGCTGACTCATCCCAGCCCAGACCAGTGGAGTCATAGCCTCCAGGTTGGTACTCACGGGTGGGGCTTGACACGGATGTAGTTCTTGGGGACAAAGCCCTCAGCTCCTCGAAGCTCGGCTTTGTACCAGTTCTGATCGTCCTCCATGTTTAGGATCTGTGGGTCACCAAGAAAAAAACAGTTGTTGCCTGCTTAGGCTCTGCCACTTTCTGGGCCCAAGTGGGTTTTGTCCACACCAGAGCCTGAGTCTGTTCATAGAAGAGAGCACAAGCCCAGATCTGTCAAGGGTCACATGTGCAAGTGAGAGACACTTTAATTCCATGGTCCTGCCTGTCCCTGGCTCAAGGACACCCATCAAGAGGGCCCCAACCTCCTAGGACCGGACAGCCAATGACTCAGAGGAGGTTTTATGTTGAGGAACTGGGGCAGCTGAGGCTGGGGATCTCAGGGCACAGAGCTGGGGCCCCACAGTTCCTGAGCTGTGCCCAGAGAATGAGGGGTCCGGCAGCACCAGATCAGGTACCCAGCCTGAATTCCTCAACCAGTGTAACCCAAGCAACTCACATTTAAAATGCCCTTAGGGTCTAAGCTCAGGTGTCACAACTGTGGGAGTGTCAAGCATGGGAACAAACAAGGGACCTATGAGCTGGCTCTCAGGTGCAGCCTGGCCTGCTCAGGTGCCACAGCACATGGTACCGGTCTTAAGGCCCCATCACCCACAGGTAGGCTGAGAGGCAAGCGGGGGAGGGGTGAAACCTGGGGATCCTCCTCCACTTCCTGGACGTACTTTCTATGTGTCACCCCAATTTTCCTATAACCCTGCAAGATCAACATCACTGTGCTATTTTTTCAGATGATTCCAGAGAAGGGAAGTATCACAGCCAAGGCCACAGTGGGGGAGACGCAGAGACTCAGGACTCTGAGATATGGGGTGTTGGCTCTGTAGTCAAGGAATGTCCTGATCCACCATTTTCACTCTGCTCCACCACCCTTTGCCTGTCAGTCCTGGAGCAGACTTCCACATTAGCTCCTCCTGGGTGAGATTTATTAGTTGAAAACGCTGGGTATAGAGAAGGGAGGGCTCTGGACAGCCCCATATGGGGCATGAACTCAGCCGGGGATGGACCTCCTGGGCCCAGGCCTGGGCTTCCCGGAAGGGCACCCCTCTCTGTCCACTAGACCAGATCAAGCCCTTCTTTCCTGTCCCTGAGTCTAAACATGGTCAGCAGCCTCAGAGACAGACAGAAGCAGGTGGACAGCTCAGAAAAACTTTCGCTCAAAATGAAACAGAACAATTCACTGAACGGAAAGGAAATGAGGACCTGCAGGCCACTTCCCACGAGCTCGGACTCCTGTCCACAGCTCAGCCTGCTCCTCATACTCTGTGCCCCTGCACTAGTTTCTTCAGCCACGTAGTCAGTGCGTTTACAGCCAACACTGAGCATGGCGGTGTCCTGTGAGCTACAGCATCCCATGTGAATGTAGACTATGACACAGTTGCTTCAGTCCCTGGTTCTGTTGTCAGGCCTCCTGGCTTTTCCGCTGGGAGGACCCAGAAATGCTCCCATGGTCACATTAGCTGAATCTTACTGTTGCCATTGCCTAAAATCCCCAGCTACTCGGAGACATGGTCAGTCCACAAGGCAGAGACTGGCTTCCTGGCCTGCCCAGGCCTCCCATTCTGGATGCCGTGCTTCTCCGTGTCCATGCCCCACACAGCTAGTAGCTGCCTACTATATGCCAGGCCTTCGTAAGGCCCGGGGACACAGCAGGGAATATGGATCTTACAATCCAGTGGCAGAGACAGACATAAACAAGGGAAGAAAGAAGTAAACAGAAGAGTTTATCTTGGAGCCGTCACTCTGAAAGCCCGTCAGAGTCACGCATGAGGAGGATGTCTGGGAGGGGCCGAGGGACTCTCAGAAGGCAGAGAAGGCCATCAAGAAAGGCTTCTCAAGAAAAGGGGGGGGGGGGTAAGAGAGAACACTATGCAATACAACACTGTTGAATTTATATTAAAAAAAGAAAAGAAAGGCTTGTCTGGGGAGGTGACATGTGCTGAGCCCCAGATAACACAAAGGGAACAGCAGTGACTCAAGGAACAGTGCGCAGGGCAGAGGGAGCAGCCTGTGTGGAGACCTGAGGTGGGAGAGAGCTCTGGCCCTGGAACCGAAAGGAGGCCTGTGTGCCTGGGATTAGGGGAGCGGCCAGCTCTATGTCATGGCTGACCCGGCTGAGGCAGAGGGAGGCCCATGAGCTCCTATTTTGGCCAGTAGGGCAATGATGGCAGCCTGGGCCAGAGGGAAGGGGGCTGAGATGCTCCAAGCCAGCGTCAGAGGACTTTGTGGCAAGCTGCTGGCAAGCTGGTGTGGGGCACTCAGAGTTGCCTGTGCTGGGTCCCCTGGGAGGTGTCAAAGGGGCTGTGAGCTCCCAAAGTCTGGGTCTCCAGGGCTGGGCTGTCCATGGAGAGATGGGTGATAGTACCTCCTTCAGGAGCCATAGCAGGGTTCAGTCCACCCAGAAAGGCCTGGCCTATGAAAGAGCGAGGCTTTGTCCCAGGCAAGAGATGTTCAGGGCGAGTCCACATATCACCAAGCTCTTATCCCAGACCAAAGCTCTGGGAGAAACCACACATACTTTTGCAAGGCCTGGGTGGCAACAGGACCCCAAGATAGTAAGGGGTCCAGAGGGGTATGGGGAGCTGAGCAGGACAAGGACAGGACACCAGCCACGTACTGTGCTCTGAGCCGGTGGGTGGGGGAGGGACACAGCGCAGCACAATGGTTAATGTTTTTAGTTATAGAAAGTAGGCAGCTGGCTAAAGGAGGCAGGTGAATTACCTTCGGAGTACAATTTGAAGAAATGCCAAAAGCTCAGGAATCAAGATAAATTCCATTTTAATGAAATAGTGAAAGAAAAATGAATACAAAACACTAAATGTGAGTGTCATTTCAGGATCTTGTACTGCTACTGTAACAGATGAACCACCCCGTGTGAGACAGGAATTGTCTGGAGCCAGGACTGGAGCGTGGGTGTAGGTGTCATGCTACGCTGCCTTCTTGTGTTTTAATAAGTCTAAAGCTTTTTTTTTTTTTTTTTTTTAAATCAAGTGGTTTTTTTGTTTGTTTGTTTGCTTTAGCTTTGCTTTGCTTTGCTTTGCTTTGCTTTGCTTCGCTTTGCATTGGGGGTTGAACCCACCCATGGCCTTCACACTGAGCTGCATCCAGGCCCTTTTTTCAAATTTTGAAAGAGAGTCTTGCCAAGTCACTAAGTTGCCCAGACTGGCCTTGAACTTGCAATCCTCCTGCCTCAGCCTCTCAAATTCCAGGATTGCAGAAGTGTGCCCCCATCCCTGGCTGAAAAATCCAGTCTATTCAAAAAGTAATATAAAAAATCCATGAAAAGCTGAAATAAAGGGCTGAGGTGGTAGCTCCATGGTGGAGTACTTGCCTACCAGGCCTAAGGCCCTGGGTTCCTTTTATAGTACTGCAAAACAAACAAATAAAAAATTTTAGAGTCTGATCTTGCACTTGTGCCATCCTGCAAGTGGGGGTCTCAGTCCTCACTCTCCTTCTGCCCTGGAGGGAATTCTATCATCCCTTGGCTTCTGGGGAGGACCAGTTCCAAAATGTTTACCCCCACTCCTCAGGGTTCAAAATTTACACACTCTTAGCCAGGTATGGTGGCGCTTACCTATAATCCCGTGCCCGGCAGGCTGAGGCAAAAGGATTGCTACAAATTGTAGGCCAGCCTAAACTACATAGCAAGATCTTGTCTCAAAAAAGCAAACAAAAAGCTGGGGATATAGCTCAGCAGCTTAAGTGCCTGCCTGGCAAGCACAAGGTATCAAGTTCGATCCTCCCAAATACCACAAACAAAAAACAAACAGCAGAAATTACAGATTCTTAAGTCTCTTATAGCAAGTGGTATAGTATTTGCATACAATCTAAGCACATCTTCCCATGTACTTTAAACCATCTCTACGTTACACATAACACCTAACACAATGCAAATACTACGTAAATACTTGACTATAGTTGGGGTTTTTTTGTTTTTTGTTTTTTGTTTTTTTGTTTTTTGTTTTTTGTTTTTTTTTTGGCAGAACCAGGGATTGAATTCAGGCCCTTGTGCTTGCCAGGGAAGCGCTTATTCTACTGAGCCATCTCCCCAGCTCCTATTGACTATAGTTTTTAAAAGAATAATGACAATGAGAACAAATCTGTACATGCTTGTTACAGAAGAACTTTGTCTAAATATGTTCAATTTCTGGTTGTTATGACTTGTGTCTAGATGTCCTCCCAAAGCCTCATTTGATCATAGGGGGCCCTTTTTCAGAGGTGGCTGGATCTGGGGGGTGTGATGCTGGGATTAAGGGTGTGTGGTTACTAAATCAGTCCACTGACTGGTTTGGCTACCACTGTAAGCCTGGTAGCTTACAGTAGAAGAGAGGCAGAAAGAAGCTGCTAAATTCCCTTGGATTCCCTGCGTGCTGCCTTGTGCCTTCTCTGCTTTCTCCTGCACCGTTTTTCTTTCTTGATC